ACTGCCATAAACTTAACAGTTCTGAATAACGTGAACCGTGGGTGCTCCAAGAACTGCAATCACGATGGTCAACTCTTCTCTTGGTGCGCGTCGAATTAGTGGTGTAGTAAGTTTTAAAAGTATTGCCAACTGGTACACCTTTTAGTTGGAAATAGTCCTTAATATCTGACAATGCGCATTCATATTTGACATCTGCCATAACAAGTGCATTGAGAAGAATTGCATCTACGTCTGTGACGCCTGAATTGGGCCATGCCTTATTTTTGGTATCCAGTGCCTTTCTGTAGGCAAGTTCGCGTTTGATAGTAACCACGGCAGCTTCACGTAATTCACAGGTAGATGTTGGACGAGTCAGTAGGTCTACTAGCCATTTCTGAACCGACTTAACGTGGAAGTTTCTTCTTAGAGCGTGGATACAGCCTATCTCTATCTCTTCCGACTGCTTTCCCTTATTAGCGATTGCCAAAACATCCGGTATTAGTCTGTTGTCTCCAAAATTACCTATAGCCTCAAGAGCGTCACTGATTTGCTCCGTGTCGTTATTTTTGTCGCCTGATTGAAGATGGCGTCGAAGAAGATCAACTAATTCTGACCGGAAACCAGTACTGGTAGTTTCCTTCGAGGCGAGGGAGCCGAGGGTAAGTATGACGTGACTTTGGGATGGATCGCCTTGAGAGAATAGCGTGTTCCAGAGTGTCTTGACTGTGGTTAAGATGTGTTTTGTGGGTTTGGCAATAAAGGACAACTTCTGAACCAGTTCCTGTTTTTGATCGGCTGAAAGTGGGTGAGACAATACCAGATCCGACAAAGTCTAGAAAAAAAGTGTGACTTTGTGATAGTTGTTATGAAAAATCTATAATCTATGATTATACGTTAACGGCTCCAATGGTACGTTTGTCATCCTTTTTTAAACTAAAACATGTTCACCTTCATTTGCGCCTTCATTTTTCACGTTGTGTGCGGTCACACAATGTCTCTTTTGTACAGTATGGTTAACATTTTTACCCGATACCGCTGAAGACGAAAATATTAAATTCAAATCAAGTTTAAAAGTCACTCCAAACTTATAACAAAAGTGATATTTGCGTATATTTCATGTTACCTGCTCGACTTCCTTGCCACCAGCGGTGATGTAAAGATCTAAAATTTCTTTGCAAATTTCCCAGTTTGTTGAACACTTGGAAACCATCTAAAATGTGCATGGGTGTATTTGTTAAGTGGTTTACCTTAGGTGTATTGACAAAACTTCCATGTAAAACCCATTTAAAGTCTAAGTTTAATAATTTCGTTCCTGAGAGCATCGTATCTAAATATATATATAAATTGTCTTTCATACATATTTAAATATTGCCAAAAAGTAAAAGGAATGTAAATACGCCAAACCAGAGCTGACTAACATTACTGTTTTTATGAAAAATATAATTTACGAATAAAGATCACATCAGTTTATCGGTACTGTAAAATGCAGTCGTCTACATGTATGTTAAGAAGATTTCCTGATATTAATGACGACACCCAGAAAATCGGGCTTTAACTGCTATGTAAATTGAAACTACTAATTGCTGGTTAAAAATATTATAAAACGGTAACCTCTTTTGTAGCTGGTATCAGTTGCTTAACCAAGGCCGGTTTGTTGGCGGCTGCAGAGGTTGCGGTGTTGTGTGGCATCCCGAGTTCATTTTCCAGAGAAAGGATTTCGTTCACTTCGTATACTGCAACAAAAATCTGGTCAATTTATGAGGTTCTGTAAGTTTGACATTGATAGTTCGAGCATTAGCCCCAGAGAAAGCTTCCTAGCCCCACGTTGTCATTCAAACAGAAACATACAGCAAGCAAAATGAGTTAAAATCCATTTTCACTGATACGCCTTACATATATGCATAATGATAAATAAGCATAAATGTTTAATAAATAAATAAGCAGTATCCTCATGTACGACATTTGAATACGCAAGGGCACGTATTATGATTCTGAGTATCCTTTTCATCCAGAGTTGTCGCTATACCAAATGTCAAAGAGTTTACAGATATTTCAACTGTGTTTAGATAGTAACCATCGTTCTAAGAGATCGAATGTTTGAATTAATGCGTACATTTCGAGGCATCTGTTGGATCCTTTGTGAAGGCTGTCACGTCTTGACTTAACTTATCCTCTTCGTCGAACTTTTTCCTCAAAACAGTCCATCTTTGGTACACACCAGAGACTATAAAATGAGCAATAAAGAACAGTACGCCACACCCAGTTAAATCATTTGTAATTAAAATTAATACTAATATGTTTAAGCTGTTTTCAATCAACCTTCACAGCAACTGAACGCAATATCCAATCAATCATTTGCAGTATTTTTATATTTTAATTTGCATATTTAAGCTACATGTACTACACTTACCCTTGTCGTACTGTCCTACCAAGGATCTTTTCTGAAATCGAGCGCTGGCAGCCGCTTCCATTCTTTGAACGCCTTCAACGGAACGCTTTACGTGCCTACGCAAGGTCAACGTGAAGGTCACGTTAGAGGTCAAATATGCCCCAAGATCAATATTGCCTCCTTCCCCTGGGTTGATACCAGTGTCATCCTGGAGAAAAATATTGAAGCTGTTATATTTTAATACACGCAAAATTATAACCATGCATCTTTTGCGATAAAATGTGTGCCATATTGATGGCAGACTCTTCATTTTTTTCTTATTAAATCAGTTTTATTTATCTCTACTTTATTTTGCTACCGTTATTTAGGCAGATAAAAAATCAATCGAGTGTAAGTTCAGTTTTACACGTAGTCACATGCGGTACCAGAACATATCTTGATGGGTTTCCAAAAAGTGACGGAACTGCAGAACTACCAGTAGCTACAGGATCTGTTTCCCCTCACACTTCACATTAATTGATTAATGAAGCATACTTCGTTATACCTATTGTGCTGCTATATCAAATCATATCTACCTGTTCCTCGGGTTTGCCAAACACCTGTACGTGTCCGGAGACACTGGTCAGTATACCTCCACTAACACGCTGGACTTCATCAGTCTCGATGTCCACTTCGTTGGTGTACAAGTCAGTATTATCGTCTACGTAGATGTCCTTGGATGAAAAGTGTTTCTTAATTTGTATTTCACCAAATTGCAGCTCCGTTGTCCTAGGGTTGAATGATTGATAATGGCAATTTAATGGTTAGAATTTCGATACGTAATGAATTTCATTAGACCATTAGCACTGATAAACTAGAGCGCATAAAACTCCCGCCAATGCAGCCCACCTCTCATAATTATTAACAATTCATTACTGAATAATGAATTAATTTTCAATTGATCACTGCCAAAATCTAGCCAAAATCTGACCTTTCCTGAAATTTCCATCAGTCTCTCCATAAAGTTTTACATAATGTTGCTGACAGACAGGCGGACGGACGCACGGACGGAAAACCAGACAGACAGACATAAGAGCAGACGGACAGACAGTCATGCAGTCAGACAGACGGACGGATGGACACACAGACAGACAGGCAGACGGACGTACGGACGGACAGACAGACAGACGGATGGACGGACGGGCAGACAGACAGACGGATGGACGGACGGGCAGACAGACAGTCACTTTTACAGCTAGGTATTCACCATTTATACTTAAATAGTGTATGATCACTCTGAAGTTAACACGTTTTCCTTTTTCTGTTGAAAATTTTATCAAACCACTTCTGAGTTAGGCTGGTGATAAGCAAATTAACGGAGAGACAGACACTGAATTGCACGCAAGCGGACAGTGGATCGCAGACGAAAACATAAAAGACACATACACANACCTTCATTTTTCACGTTGTGTGCGGTCACACAATGTCTCTTTTGTACAGTATGGTTAACATTTTTACCCGATACCACTGAAGACGAAAATATTAAATTTAAATCAAGTTTAAAAGTCACTCCAAACTTATAACAAAAGTGATATTTGCGTATATTTCATGTTACCTGCTCGACTTCCTTGCCACCAGCGGTGATGTAAAGATCTAAAATTTCTTTGCAAATTTCCCAGTTTGCTGAACACTTGGAAACCATCTAAAATGTACATGGGTGTATTTGTTAAGTGGTTTACCTTAGGTGTATTGACAAAACTTCCATGTAAAACCCATTTAAAGTCTAAGTTTAATAATTTCGTTCCTGAGAGCATCGTATCTAAATATATATAAATTGTCTTTCATACATATTTAAATATTGCCAAAAAGTAAAAGGAATGTAAATACGCCAAACCAGAGCTGACTAACATTACTGTTTTTATGAAAAATATAATTTACGAATAAAGATCACATCAGTTTATCGGTACTGAAAAATGCAATCGTCTACATGTATGTTAAGAAGATTTCCTGATATTAATGACGACACCCAGAAAATCGGGCTTTAACTGCTATGTAAATTGAAACTAGTAATTGCTGGTTAAAAATATTATAAAACGGTAACCTCTTTTGTAGCTGGTATCAGTTGCTTAACCAAGGCCGGTTTGTTGGCGGCTGCAGAGGTTGCGGTGTTGTGTGGCATCCCGAGTTCATTTTCCAGAGAAAGGATTTCGTTCACTTCGTATACTGCAACAAAAATCTGGTCAATTTATGAGGTTCTGTAAGTTTGACATTGATAGTTCGAGCATTAGCCCCAGAGAAAGCTTCCTAGCCCCACGTTGTCATTCAAACAGAAACATACAGCAAGCAAAATGAGTTAAAATCCATTTTCACTGATACGCCTTACATATATGCATAATGATAAATAAGCATAAATGTTTAATAAATAAATAAGCAGTATCCTCATGTACGACATTTGAATACGCAAGGGCACGTATTATGATTCTGAGTATCCTTTTCATCCAGCGTTGTCGCTATACCAAATGTCAAAGAGTTTACAGATATTTCAACTGTGTTTAGATAGTAACCATCGTTCTAGAAGAGATCGACTGTTTGAATTAATGCGTACATTTCGAGGCATCTGTTGGATCCTTTGTGAAGGCTGTCACAGCTTGACTTAACTTATCCTCTTCGTCGAACTTTTTCCTCAAAACAGTCCATCTTTGGTACACACCAGACACTGAAATAGGAGCAATAAAGAACAGTACGCCACACCCAGTTAAATCATTTGTAATTAAAATTAATACAAATATGTTTAAGCTGTTTTCAATCAACCTTCATAGCAACTTAACGCAATATCCAATCAATCATTTGCAGTATTTTTTTTTATTTTAATTTGCATATTTAAGCTACATGTACTACACTTACCCTTGTCGTACTGTCCTACCAAGGATCTTTTCTGAAATCGAGCGCTGGCAGCCGCTTCCATTCTTTGAACGCCCTCAACGGAACGCTTTACGTGCCTACGCAAGGTCAACGCAAAGGTCACGTTAGAGGTCAAATATGCCCCAAGATCAATATTGCCACCTTCCCCAGGGTTGATACCAGTGTCATCCTGGAGAAAAATATTAAAGCTGTTATATTTTAATACACGCAAAATTATAACCATGCATCTTTTGCGATAAAATGTGTGCCATATGGATGGCAGACTCTTCATTTTTTTCTTATTAAATCAGTTTTATTTATCTCTACTTTATTTTGCTACCGTTATTTAGGCAGATAAAAAATCAATCGAGTGTAAGTTCAGTTTTACACGTAGTCACATGCGGTACAAGAACATATCTTGATGGGTTTCCAAAAAGTGACGGAACTGCAGAACTACCAATAGCTACAGGAACTGTTTCCCCTCACACTTCACATTAATTAATTAATGAAGCATACCTCGTTATACATACTGTGCTGCTATATCAAATCATATCTACCTGGACCTCGGGTTTGTCAAACACTTGCACGTGTCCGGAGACGCTGGTCAGTATACCTCCACTAACACGCTGGACTTCATCTGTCTCGATGTCCACTTCGTCGGTGTCCATGTCAGTATTATCGTCTACATAGAAGTCCTTGGATGAAAAGTGTTTCTTAATTTGTATTTCGCCAAATTGCAGCTCCGTTGTCCTAGGATTGATAATGGCAATTTAATGGTTAGAATTTCGATACGTTATGAACTTCATTAGACCAACAGCACTGATAAACTAGAGCGCATAAAACTCCCGCCAATGCAGCCCACTTCTCATTATTATTAACAATTCATTACTGATTAATGAATTAATTTTCAATTGATCACTGCCAAAATATAGCCAATTCCTGACCTTTCCTGAAATTTCCATCAGTCTCTCCATAAAGTTTTACATAATGTTGCTGACAGACAGCCAGACGGACGCACGGACGGAAAACCAGACAGACGTACGGATGGACAGACAGACAGACAGACGGATGGACGGACGGGCAGACAGACAGTCACTTTTACAGCTAGGTATTGACCATTTATTCTTAAATAGTGTATGATCACTCTGAAGTTAACACATGTTTTCCTTTTTCTGTTGAAAATTTTATCAAACCACTTCTGAGATAGGCTGGTAATAAGCAAATTAACGGAGAGACAGACAGACAGACAGACACTGAATTGCACGCAAGCGGACAGTAGATCGCAGACGAAAACATACATGTCATTTCTCTGTTGGGATAATAAAAGACACATAAATTAATTTAATAAGACAACCGATACTATATGTATAGTAAACAAACAAACACTGAAGTCTTATACATGTAATAATAATAACAATAATAATAATAATAATAATGATAATGATACAACTACTACTACTACTACTACTACTACTACATGTACTACTACTACTACTACTACTACTACTACTACTACTTATAATTATAATAATAATAAATATTTGATATCGGAGTAACTTACTAAAATGTATTAATTATTTACTGCTAAAAACTATATCCAATTGCTTAACTTAAACGTTCTGAAAGACTATCATTTTTTTGTCTGTTTCGGTACGTAATTTCTGTAGTTTTTCATCTTTTTCTGTCTTACTTAAAATTTTTGTTTTCCCTTCATCATGTAATTTGCACATTAATGGCACATAAAACCCAGTTAACTTACCTATAACGCGAATTGTGTGTCCCCATGACGTCTGTCTCTATGACATTTTCTTTGTCACGGACCAAATTCGTTTGAAGTGCCGATAAAATGGAGCGCTTGAAATTCATGACATTTATTTTCCCTGAAACAAATGTAAAAGGTTATAGCAAGAAGTTCTGTTAAGAGCAGATTAAAATGTAAATATACAGAACAGATACCCACTTTAAAGAACGTGACGCATTCATGTAATTACTGTTCGATCCAGATTTTAGTGCATGTTACGAGGAAGGGGGAAAGACAGGTTATATCCAGAAAGAGATATGTGTAACGTGTGGAAACATCTGATCGAAACGCCTAACCTAAATCTTTCTTGGTAAACCTAGCCTCGGCAATAGTTCCGTTCCCCAGTTGAACAAACCAGGTAGGCTGGTCATATAGGTCGTCAGCAGACAGGGGAGCCTCGGACTGGGAGGTCGTGCTGAAATGAGTATTTTTGAAATCAGTGCCAAAATATTATCCCACGCATACGACTAAGTATTTACATGAGCTTGGTTTTGATTAATTATTTTACCATTCTGATAGGCCACGTCACAACATCCAAACCCAAAATTGAAAAAGAAACAACTTTGTGATGAACAGATGCCCTACTAAAAGAACGTGTTAAGCTACAAAAATGTCACGTATGCTTAAGTACGTTAAGTGTTGCAACATTAACTGAGATGTTATTAAGCTGGTGATATGGTCCTTACCCATTTCCCTTAATCACTTGCACAAAAACATTATGCATAAACATAAGGAAGGACGAAGCATTTCCGTCTATGTAGTTTCCAAAGCCACCTGGAAATCATGTAATGCATTTTAAAACATATTACCCCAACACTGTGTACATGTAGGTAATGCTGCCAGAAATGCCCATTAATATTACCGTTCGTAAAGCAATATACATGTACTTAGATACTTTGCTGGTACATTCAATGAATAAGTTATTAAACTGTTACTAAAATGAGTAAAATAAATCTTCTGTTATAAATGTATAGTAAAATATGTTAATTATAACACAAGAAATCAAATGGTAAAAAGTACAAAAAGTAAAAACATTATGCAGAACGTAAACGCAGTAGTATTTTTTAAATAAACATCAATTCAATGGGGAGTGTTTAAGAGATAAAGCACATGCGGAGTGAGTTAATTATCCATATAAAGTGTCACGGTTACCTCCAATATACTCCACATCTACATCAGCCGAGATGTGAAATATTTCCTCTGCCGGGCCAAACAGTTTTGCCTCGCTTTCATAGTAGTAATGGAGAGTTGTTCCCTGAAAAACCAAGAAAATGCGCGTTATTTTTTTCTGTCTGTGGATTCACTCATATTTTTTCCAGGCTGTAAAATTAAGAATTAACGACGATTTAAATATGTCATAAAGGAAGCGGGTAGCCCGGAATACATAATAATAATAATAATAATAATAATAATAAATAAATAAATAAATAATATATATTCGCTTCACTCTATACAGTTTATTTATCATTTCTCTATGCATCCCAGAGGAGCCGGAGACTTTCAAGGAGGGACTGTGATAGAATAATGTCTCTAAAATTGTTCAAGGACCGCTAACAAAAGTATTACGTATAATTATTTAATATAAACATTATTGAAAAATGAAGAAAGTAGCGAAAATAGAAAAAATCCGAGTATAGTTTTGAAAAATGAAAATATTATAGGTTACATGTTATTAAATATTTTTTAAACTTTAAGTTGTGAAACTCAAACTCGCCTAAAAACAATTAACAGTAACAAGTATTTCAGAAAATTGCAAAAAAAAAAAAAAAAAAAAAAATGATATAAACCTCACAAGACTAAGTACACTTACTTGCAAACCAGCCTTATGCTGCGCAGACGAATCCTTCGACACGTAGTCCTCCTGGTTCTTGCTTAAGGTAGGCCGCGCCAGAGCAACAACGAGGTACAGGTAAAGAACATATAACCTCATCTTCTTGATTAACACGTGACTCGAAAGTAAACGATGTGGAATAATGACTGCAAAAAATACTAAAATACTAAATAATTTAAAAACGTGCATAATATAAACGATGAAAAAAATAACCAAATTCATACCTGTCCCCGAAATGTTTTTAAAAAGTGTTTTGTGGATTTTCGTTGATAACGTAATTGAAAGTACATGCTCAAATGAAGATATTTACAGAGTCGAGTAGGAAAACGGCTCTAATGATATGACACATTTATTAAATAAGAAAAATCTGGCAGATGAAAATATGTGCAACAACAACAGCAACGACAATGATTATAATATTAATGAATAAAGGAAGAATGAATGAATGAACAAAAGGAAAACAAATGTCGTGTTATCGAACCATAAGCACTTACCAGCTCCAGATTCTGCCTTCTTTCCCGCAGGGCCTCAATATCTAGTGTGCTCCTGTGCCCGCTCTTTTTATACACTTCGCTAAGAAACTTACTCATTTAACAAAGGCCTAATTTATTTTAATTAGACAATACATTTCCTTGTTTACCTGTACCGATATTAATTGTAATTCACTTCATTAATGTTATCTGTGAAAATGATTTCCTTGGACAGATTAACCCACAGGGACGTGCAAAGACGTGTTAAGACAACATCCCATTTGAGATCTACACTGTACAGGCACGAGGCGCTCCATGAATAAAACACATACAACCAACTCTGTGCTAATACAACGAAAACATCTTAACTGTCAATTTATCTCAGTGAATGATCGTGAAAGTTATTTCCGGGTAAGATCCCATGCAAAAAAGGCCCTGTTATTTTTACTATAAACATCATATTTTGTTACTTATAAATGCTTTATTGTTTTTCCTTCAAGGCTCCTTCTTGATCTGTTATGTGTGTGTGGCTTTTCCCATTCTTATACTCCTTGACCATTTGAGTTGACTTTTTAAAATTTAAAAACAAATAGACAAATGAATATATATAAAAAGACAAAAAAAAAAAAAAAAATCAATGTGATCAGAATAGACACGTTGAAGGGGAATAATTCTATAAGCAAATTTGACAAAACATCCTTCAACCAAAATCAATATGAAAGATATATAATATTGATTAAAGAACCACAGATAACTGCACATCATGAAGGTGTTTTTCATATGTAAAGCTTAATCATTAACGTGGTAAAACAAGTATAAAATCCAACACACGGGCCCAATGTGCACGTTCAAATATACACGAAGGGTTAAAAGAAAAAGGTTGAATGGATAACGTTCAGTCTGCATTAATAATGAGAATACATTAAAATAATCAGATAATGTTCCCTTTTGATCGGGTTTTTAAAACATTCGAAGTAGTTTATATTCATTTATGTATTTTTCGAAAATGTTTTCCTTGTATTTGCTATTTTAGTTTCCCTTCTTCCTCATTAGTAAATCAAAGCAATGTATATATGTAAATTAAAAACCACATAATGATCTGATGGATAATTAACTAGTTTCTCTTTAATATTCAATAGGCTGCTTTATGAATGTTTATAAATTCAAATTGTTCAAGAGAGAGTGAGAGAGAGAGAGAGAGAGAGAGAGAGATTCTTTGTAGTCCAGCCATCTGTACTGACGTCACCTAAAATAACATGGAACTTTCTGTTACTTTTGACTGATGTCACGTCATATTTCTGATGCTGTGGTGGAAATCGGCCTTCACAATAAATTACTTATTATGTGTTAATATTTGGAATTTCTGTTTAGATAATCTCAGTTTACAGTGGCATAACATAGGGAATCAAAAGCAGTTTTCTTCAATTTTTACAGATAAACGTGCTTAGCTTAAATCACTTCTGTTTTTCGTAAAATATTTTTGGCAATGCTTCCTCCCTGCTAGCAGTAAATCCTGTACGTCTGGTTACCCGACTGTTTAGAGAAAAATAAATTATAAGAAAAAAGTATCAGATGCAAGGGGATTTATTGTATTCACTCCTAATTACATTTATACGTGAACCATCGCATGGTTTCATTTAGACAAGAGATAAAATCCATAAAATCGGAATATATAAAATAAAAATATTGACGACGAGAAACTATCAGTCCGTGTAAATGCATAGATAGATATAGATATACGGTGTTGAAATTCTACATATTGGTACTATACACATTAGATGTTTAAGTGTATATTGGGAATTTGTCTTCAAGTCATGTGATCGTGATATATATATCTTTAGATAGTCCTAACAATCTGGTAAACTCCGAAATCGCCCACCAGGTGTCGCTTTTTAACAAGAAAATGTTTTGCAATTCATGGATTTGCCTTAATCTTTTATACTTGCCAATATATATTTTTAAAAGAATTTTATCAAATAGTTAATCCATTTGACTGTTCCACTGTGTCTATACATTCACCCAACACTTCACGATATTCTACATTACACAATGAGCAGATGATGATCTGCTAATTGACTCCTCTAAAAGTTACAAAATAGATTCTTCATAGAATATTTAAAATTCAAAGTTTTAGCCACCCCAATATCTTATTTATTAAAAGGGTCCTTCATCTAAGAATGGGGCCATAGGTGTCGAACTGGCTTCTACCTGGGTATGCAATTACTCACCGAATCCCACTAAATCAGTATTGTTAACGTTTACTAAATTTCTACAGAGAGTATTCTGAATGATTATGTAAATCAAATAAAACAGATTCACGATTGTAAAATCTGTAACTCTTGATCCAATTTTCTTTAACGTTTACTATATTTCTACAGAGAGTATTCTGAATGATTATGTAAATCAAATAAAACAGATTCACGATTGTAAAATCTGTAACTCTTGATCCAATTTTTTCCCTTTATGAATAATATTTTAAGCATGCTCAAATGACACTTGTATATAAAAATAACTAAAAAATAAATGAAGAATGATTAATTAACGACCAAATAAAATATTGATCCATTGCCTACCAAGTTAAAGTATTGTTGTATTTAGCATTCGTAACATCAGTTGTTAAATAATAAGAAACAAATCAAGCGACCTATCATTAAAAATGAAGGATTCTATACAAAATATTTCCATATAATAAAAGAAATAAGTGGTATGCATGAAAAACAAATCATTCCGACAGTATCCTTCAGGGCCTGAATGAACTACAAAAGTAATTTGCTTAGTTTCAAAAACATTACTAAAAAGCTAAGATTAACAGAAACAGCCCGCGTCTGTTCTGTGATCTAGATATCTATGTGATTAACGCAAACCCGTGATGCACGCCCATGTACACACACAAACACACATGTACACGTACATGCATGTGCGAAAACGTCTATTAGACACATAATAATATCTTGAGACTAAGTCCAGAACTTAGTGTGATTCATATAACAAACATGCCTAGCATCTGCCCGCTCTAGCGATGAGTCTTCTACTAGATTTTCCCAGGCTCCAAGACAGCGACGATGGTCTCCACGTCTTTCTGTTTCCCCAGGTCCATCTCCACTTCTAATATGAAATGAGTCATAATAGAATTAATGATTAAACGAAATTATAACAATAATAAAACAAATAATAAACATGACAAATCTTATAAAAACCTTAAGTTATTTAAAACGATTTAAGCCGTGCCGAATCAAATTAAATTGAACTGAACTTTAAATTAAACCACTTGAAAACTCACCCAGAATCGCCAGCCTCTAATCTTAAACTTAGAACGTATCTGATACCAAGCTTGTATGTTAATCTTCATGGGGTCGTGACCGTGGTAGATCGAGAAACAAATGCCAGGGTAGAGCTTCCCCTCTCCTTCAATTAGGTAATTGAGGGTGACACCGACGTCAATCCCGCCGCGAACCAGTGCCTGGAACGAATGCGCGAATTGTCTGTATTGGAATAATCTCACCTTAATCTACATAGTATCCAGACGATGATATCAAGTATTAATGCTACAGCCAGAGCTTTGTTCAGAGGTTAAAACCGATTTTACACTACAAAAATTGTTTATAATAATTTTGTAATACCTTAAATTAATTGAACTAGCATACCTTATTTTGGTGTTTATTCCACCAAACATATACAGTAAATACTGCCTTGATAGTAACAGATATACCTTTAAATAGAAACCCTCTGGTTTTCGTTTCAAACAAATTATATATATATATATATATATATATAGAGAGAGAGAGAGAGAGAGAGAGAGAGAGAGAGAGAGAGAGAGAGAGAGAGAGAGAGACTTACAGCCAAACTAGCAGATGCACCACCAGAAATACGGACACCTGCTTTGAGCGTCATCGTCAGACAATGGGAGCAGGGATCTGTTGAACGAGAACAGAACCCTGCCCTGACACTGAAGTCCACAGTTGGAGCCAAGGTAATGGTGACGGAGATTTTGGCCACATAGATATAAAACCGGAACACGGTGATGGTTTTTGGTGATGGTCTGTAAATGGGGTAGTTTTTGTATAGTGGGCCGGAGTGATATATGTTCACCACAGTCTTCCCATAGACGTGGAGATAGACCTTTGTCCTACTGCTGCTAGCCTTATAACGATAGACTTCAGCGGTTGCGAGTGTGAGGGTTTTAGAGAAGACTTTGATTTTAGCTACAGACTTGCCGTACACTTTACAGTGTCCTCGTCTTTTATCTATACCAGCAAAGACGCCGGACTTGACATAGACATGAGCTTTCGAAGGACCGTAACTGATGTGGGAAAGGCAGTGCTTGTTGTCTGGGTACAGGGAATTATCACTCGAGAACTGCCCTGAACTTAATAAATCTGAATACCGTGAACCGTGGGTACTCCAAGAACTGCAGCTAGTATGGTCAACTCCTCTCTTGGTGCGTGTGGAATTCACCATCTCGTAAGTTTCAGTATGAGTACCAATTGATACACCTTTAAGTTGCAGATACTCCTTAATGTCTGAAAATGCGCATTCATATTTAGCATCTGCCATAAAAAGTGCATTGAGAAGAATAGTGTCTATGTCTGTGAGGCCTGAATTGGGCCATGCCTTATTTTTGGTATCCAGGGCCTTTCTGTAGGCAAGTTCGCCTTTGATGGTCATAACAGCAGCTTCGCGTAATTCACAGGTGGATGTTGGACGAGTCAGCAGATCTACTAGCCATTGCTGAACCGACTCAATGTGGAAGTTTCTTCTCAGAGCGTGGATACAGCCTATCTCTATCTCTTCCACTTGTCCTTCTTTTTTGGCAATTGCTAATACATCTGGTGTAAGTCTATTGTCGCCAAAGTTACCTATAGCCTCAAGAGCGTCACTGATTTGTTCTGTGTTGTTATTTTTGTCGCCTGATTGAAGATGTCTTCGAAGAAGATCCACCAATTCTGAACGGAAATCCTTGCTGGTAGTTTCCTTGGAGGCGAGGGAGCCGAGGGTAAGTATGGCGTGACTTTGGGATGGATCGCCTTGAGAGGACAGCGTGTTCCAGAGTGTCTTGACTGTGGTTAAGATGTGGTTTGTGGGTTTGGCAATAAAGGACAACTTCTGAACCAGTTCCTGCTTTTGCTCGGTTGATAGTGGGTGAGACAGGACCAGATCCGACAGAATCTAGAAAAGACAAGGTATGTGTCTGTGCTACGCGTTATATAAGTTTTAGTCTAAAATTCTACACAGTTTAACGTCTGTCATCCTTTTTCAAGCCACAAATGTAAGGCATGTTTGATATTTAGGTAAATGATCATTATATACGTTTGTGCATTTTCAGAGATTTAATTAAACATGTGCAAGATAACAGTCAACTAGAGTAGAAGAGAAAATAGTTTACTAGTTATTCCAAAGTTATAGCAATAAATAATACTTTGCTGATTCTAAACGTTACCTTTTCGACATCTTTGCCGCCTGCAGTGATGTGAAGATCCAAAATTTCTTTGCAAATTTCCCAATTTTCCGAACACTTGGAAACCACCTAAAACGTACAAGTCATATATCGCCTATAAGAAACCATTTGCTGTATACATTTTTGCATTAAGAGAACGTTATACAAAAACCCACCCATTCTGAAAAGAATATATGTAGAAAAGCATAAAAATGTTGTTTTTGCAAGTATTCAAACATGTATTTAAAAATAGAAAGATTAGTAAAGTCTTTTTAATAATTAAGCTATTAAAGTAATAATAATAATAATAATAATAATAATAATAATAATCTCATGAATAATCGGAAACAATCTTGTCAGTTTCCTAGGTATTGAATACAACAAAGTGGTGTTTTTATCTGGCTATCACTACTATGTCAAATGAAAACCAAAACTAACACATTTCATAAAGTGTTATTAAAGACAAACCTCTTTTGTAACTTGTATCAGTTGCTTAACCAGGGCTGGTGTGTTGGCGGCTGCAGAGGTTGCAGTGTTGTGTGGCATCCCGAGTTCATTTTCCAGAGAAAGGATTTCGTTCACTTCGTACACTGTAACAAAAATCATTTTCAACCGTGTTCCCAATATGTACGTGCGACAATAAATAATAGTTATCTACTATATTAAAATATTCATTGATGTATAGTATGTCTAAGATTATGATTTTTAACCACAAATATTGAGCCTTTTAACACTGTTGGTAACTGTATAACTGCACGTCTCTTAATTAAATAATAAAATAACGCAAAATTACATACATTTTGACGGATCTGTTGGATCTTTCATAAAGTTTGTCACAGCTTGACCTAGCTTATCTTCTTCATCGAACTTTTTCCTCAGAACAGTCCATCTTTGGTACACAGCAGAGACTGAAATAGGGATCACACAATGAAGCACACGACAGTATGTAAAATAAAGTAGACACATAATTTTGTTATCAAGATATATAGGAAAAAACTTTCAATAGACACACTTATTAATGGTGCATGCAAAAATCAGAAAGTGTGCTTGGTATCTTCTCTGAAGTAAAACGTTGAGCAACGGTATTTTAGGTCAAGGAAACAGGACCTTATGTGTCACCCCTTAGCTCCAGTCTTCTACTTGTCTCTCTCTCCCTCCCTCCCCAAAAAGAATATGTTACGATAGGAAGCAATGTAACTAGGACACTTTGTACATCTACTGCACTTACCCTGGTCATACTGTCCAACCAAGGACCGTTTCTGGAATTGTGCGTTGGCCACTGCTTCCATTCTTTGAACGCCTTCAACGGAACGCTTAACGTGCTTACGCAAGGTCAAGGTAAAGGTCACGTTAGAGGTCAAATATACCCCAAGGTCAATATTACCCCCTTCCTCAGGGTTGGCAGTAGTGTCATCCTGAAGAAATAAGTACATCAACGCTATGCATTATTTTATCTCATACACTGTATAATCAATTCTGAGGGCATTCAATTTTGTGCTATATCATCTAGCTGCAAAGTTCAAAACACTAGACTCTGTTAGATATTCAATTATTGTTTAATAATAATATGATAATTATATGATAAATTTCCACTTATTTTTTTCACCTGACTAGCGTTCCTAAGGCAAACAGTTATCAACATGGCTTTAAATGTAGTTTGTCTAGTAGATAAAGGATGTACAGAATTTGACAGAGCAGCATGGCCCAGTAGCAGCAGGATATGTTTCACGTAATATTCATTTTACATTACTTTAAGTTATTGCGCTGCTATATTAAATTATACGCACCTGTTCTACGGGTTTTTGAAACACCTGCACGTGTCCGGAGACGCTGGTCAGTATACCTCCACTAACACGCTGGACTTCATCAGTCTCGATGTCCACTTCGTCGGTGTCCAAGTCAGTATTATTGTCGACGTAGATGTCCTTGGAGGAAACGTGCTTCTTGACTTCTATTTCTCCAAACTGCAGCTCTGTTAAACTAAGGTCGAAGGATTGACATTAATTATGCAATGGTTACATTATGAATAGATAATGAAATTGATGACATCAACAACACTGCACATTTAGTTTAAGTAAAAGAAAGAAAAAAATGAAAATATAATGATATAAAAAGACATAGTGGGATGACACATATCATATTATACATGTATGTTAAGTACAGATACAAACGATGAAAACCGCATGCCAAAAACAAATAAATATACAGATATA